AATTAAAGAAATGTGTAGTTAATTATCCTTATATAATTGCTTATTTCTAATGTTAAATTATTGTAATTTTCTCAGGATTATGTGTAAATCAGCTTCCAAAATGTAAAATGATTAAACATTTTAATTTCAGAATAATATCAAGTTCAAGCTGTGGGTGATTTGTGTTCCACAGACACTGGAGATAAGAAATGTTCACAGACTTACCATTTAAAGAGGGCTGAAGAACTATAATTAATTTTCTTGTGCTGACACACAGAAGGTCAAATCATACACCATTTCCTTAGTTTCCTTCAATCATGTACCCTGAGTTGGAGCATCTCCTCTAGCTGTGTTCAGCCTCCATCTCATTTACTTGTCAGCCTTAGCTTAATGTGCCATTTTCGTGTTCTTCTCTTACATTCTGCCCTTCAACCTGTGCTACATCTTGGCAATTTTCTTTTCTCTGGGTATCTTACCAATTCTCCATAACCTTCTCTAATGTGAATCCTTAAATGAAGAGCAGAAGCAAGTGTGTCTGCTGTGATTTCTAGTAATATGCCAGGCTGTAGTGCCAAGACTCCAGTATTAAGTGCCTCAGAGAGATTCCCTCCACTCCTCCTCCTGCTGTAAGGTAAGATTCTGCAGTTACTGAATATCTGAAACAATTGCTTTCCTTTAACACCTGTGTATTCAGCTTGGGATTTTCCTCTGACATCACAAAGTCACTGCTAAAGAAAATTCTCATTAGCAAGAAGGTTCTCTCTCCAAGGCTAAGCAGAAAGGCTTTAAGTCTGGCACTCTGGGCAGAAGTTTGTGCCTCAGTCACTGAGGTATTCTACATTTGGTTCTCACTGAGGGAGTTTAGTTTCATCAACATCTGCCTCTCATCACCTGTTGCCCTTTGTTGAAGGCTCCTTGACTCAGGTTCTCTTGACAGCCTGGAGGGTTGGCTGGGCTGAGCAGGCAGTGTTGCAGTGCTCTGACAGGAGCTGAACCTGATTCTGTTCAAATCACTCTGCTGAAGGCAACTCTGCACCATGTGCCTGATACTTCACCTTCCTGTGGTGATGGTTTTCACCCTGGCAATGGCACAGCTAGAGAGGGAGAAGACATTGCATATTCCTCTTGTTCAGGTGGTATCCTGGAGGACACACTCTGGATAACCATTTTACCACTGTCACTGTTTAATTTAAAGCAGGAATTCAAGCTGTTTTCCTTCCACTAGTGTCAAATCTACAGGAGAGAAACTTCACTACAAATTAAGGATGTGGAAAGGCCTTGGTATATTTGCCAGCTGAACCTTTCAAATGGCCTGCAGAGTTGTGACCTCTATTGTGGAGAGGTTCAAAGTAGGGAATAGGGCTCTGAAACAAAAGAGGGGTGTATGAAAGTCTGCCAGGATGGACCAGCCTTTGGAGATCAGAGCATTTGCCACAGCTTGTGACATGAAATTGCCCAAGGATTGTGCAGACTAACTGATATTTTGAAGAAATGTGATTACTGATCAAAGCCTATTTTGCTTATCTTTTACCAAAAAATTTGATTTTATCTTCCCATGAAATCTTTAATGTGATGTCATCTAAAAGTGCTACCTGTTATTTGATAATGGATTTGAAATAAGCTTTAGATATATTTTTACAGGTACTGTGCTGTCCCAATATTTGCTGCACAGAAGGGCATTAATACCATTTTAGAACCTCACTTATAGTAACTTCTATTTAAAATATGACAGCTTTTACTGCTTTTTGTTTAACTTTTTTGTCTCAAGTGTTTTCATTAGTTTGGAAAGTATATGCCATTTTACATTTTCTATCAGCTGAGTTTGATAGTAAAGGTAACAATACAAAATTACAAATATTAACTAGTTTGCAGTTTCGTAACTTTAAGCTATTCAGTTGAGGTTTTATGTTGTATTTGGGATTGGACAGCAATGAAGCTCATTGCCATGTGAAGACTGGCAATTCAGTTGAGATGTGTTAATGATCTCTGGGCATTCTGCCTTCAGAGATCCCACCATGCTGATAGTAGATAACCTCATATCAGTTTGGCAGTTGGATCATTCATAACATACAGTCCTAGTAAATATGTGGGGACTATGTGGCATGAAAAATTATGCCTCAGTAACAATCCCTCTATTGTTGGAGGAGTCTTGCTGCTTTTACATTAATTGTTGTATATCAAGACAAAGGGCAGATGATAAAGTCTTCAGATAGTTGAAAATACTGAGAAGCTGTATGAATTTTGTTACATAGCTAAAAAATATCAAGTCAGCTGTGTTAAAAAGCTTACTGTAATGAACTTGACCAAAATTTCTGAGTACTGTTTTTTTTTTTAAGCAGTATTTTCTGCTGTACTTGTAACAGCTAATTTTATGTAAAATTAGTTCAGTTGCTCTCATTTGTTTTTAACAAGAACATTTAGACTTGCTTTCCTGTCAGGAGAAAGTCAAAAAAGCTAAATACTGAGTTACTGAAAGCCTGAGTTAAAGAAAGTAGCAAGATCTAGTCCCACTGTTTCCAGGATCAGAGCACAGCACAAGAGGCTCAGTTGAAGAGAAGGAGGTAAGAACCTTCCTGCCAGTCGGTGGGGTTGAGTTACTGGTCTGAGCTAAAGAGTACAAAGGTGTGAGCCCCTGGTGAAACACAGAGGTGTGACAGTCCTGCAGGGGAGTCGGGGAGTATGGCAGTGCTCTGACTCAGCAGCTGGGCAGTGTGTTGGTTTAGGCTTTGTGGGGACTCGGGGCAGGTTGAGCAGGAGAAAAGGGGTGGTGGTGCAGGGGGAGCCTGTTTTGGGTTAATGTTTGTGCAGGTTATCACAGCAAGGGCTGTGGGCTGGCAGGAAGGCAGTAAAACTGGCAAATACTGAAAAGTGATGTACTGTGAAAGGGAGAAGAGGTGGCATCCAGGAGGGGTCTGACTGGCCAGGGGGAGCAAGGTGCTGTTCTAGGGTTGGGACACCACACAGGTTCTGGAGGGCGACACGAGAACTTCCTGCAGGGCAGGTGTAGCTGCTCAACACACACCTCAGCATGTCTAAAAAACCCAATTCTAAGGGGTTTTTTTTCAATGCAGCCTTCATTCTGGGGTAAAATTTGGGATTTGTGCAAGTTCTGAAAGACTGTGTATTGGTTTAGAATGTTACATAAGTAGCATACTTACACTCATGCAAGTTGGGCATTGTTTCACCACCTTCAAACTCAACTCTGTGTGTGTATATATATGTATAGAGGTATGTATATAGAGTTAGTCTGCAATTTGCTGTTGAAAGCAAATGCAAACTACAGCAGTGGCCTTCCTTCTGTTTCTCTCCTTGGGAGTTAAAATGGCTATTTTTCATGTTCATAATCAGTTCCAGCATCTGACTTCAGCTCATCAGTGTTTCTTGCAAAGGAAGTAAATAAACCAGTGAACCAAAAAGAGATCTGTGAAGCATAAGTGTCTTTATTGAGGCTGGGTTCAAGTATTTGTTTGGCTGTGGTAACTAATAATAGTGCAGTAAACCAGCCAACCTGGTTGCTTCTGGTTTGCTTCCTTTTGAAGGTAGTGTGTGCCTTGTGCACTTCTGTCAGGGCGTGTGTCACATTAGTGGTTGTGGTTGTACCTGGTAGAGGGGGCTCCAAGAGAATACACAACACTTTGCATATTTCTATTGCCTTTGTGAATATATCTTGCATAACACTGCCAATATTGATAAAAGGTCTTGTTACATGGCGTGGAAGTTTTTATAGAGGATGAAAAGAAACTAAAGCCACAATCTGCAAAGTCCTGGGCACTTCAAGATTTTCAGTTGTAAACTGCCCCATTGAAATAAATATAAAGGTCTTGTTTGCTAATATTGCTAATCTTCCTTAGACTGACATTTCAGAACTCTATAGGCTGAACACCTGGGTTTTTGATGTTACTTCCCTTTTTTGAGACAGCATCAAAAATACGTCTTTCTAGAGCATTTAAATGTTTTCTGTAATGCAAGAAAAACAGAAGTTTACCATGTTTGATCTAGTATATGTATGATCTGCAGGGATCTAAAGCACATAAATAGTGTTTGTGTCCCCATAAACCTTGTTTTGCTCAGCTTGCTCAGTGCATTAAGCTGCGTTTGTGTGAGAAATATGCAAAATGGGTAACTGCACGCCTTGGACGTGTGCCTGGCTGCACTCCAGAAAGCCTTAACAAATGTTGCATCGTTGCGCTGAATGGAACTAGTGCCGAATTTATTTTTTTCCTCCCAGAAGTGCTTTCTATTTATATGGTCTCTGTAAGAATACGTAACCATGCTTCGTTGAAACAGTTTTTTCACAGGGGTAAGGAAAAGCTGAAATCAAACCCTTCTTCGGGCTTTCCCAGGGCCCGGAGCTGGGCCTGTTTCGGCTGCGGGCCGGCCCCGGCTCTCTCGGGGCGGAGGTGCGAGGGCGCGGCCGCCGCTTTGTTGGAGCCTTTGTCCGCGGGGGAGCACGGAGCTGGAGCCGGGCCCAGCACCGGCGGCCCTGGCCCCGTTGTGCCGCCGGGGCCGGGCGTTCCCGCAGCGCCCGCGGCGCCGAGCCCGCGGCGGGGCTGAACTTTGCATCCCGGCACGGCAGCCCCACCAGCTCCTCGCAGATAAGCGGCGCGGCCGGCGGCCGCAGCCAGCGCGGCGCCGCGCGCTGTGTGTAAATACAGCCTCTATATATTTATGTATTTGTGTATTTATGCACTCCGCACCGCCCGCAGCGCCCGGGCGCCGCTGGCACAGGTGCGGCCGTCGGGGGGATCGAACCCGTGGCCTGACAGCGGCCGGCGCGCGCCGCGAGGGAGAGGCGGCGGCCGCGGGTCCCGGCCGGCCACGCCCTTCCGCCCCGCCCCTCCGGCCCCGGCACGGCGGATTGGCGAGCGCTGTGTGTACACACACGGGCCCGGGCCAATGGCGCGGGGAGGGCGCCTGACATCACGCGGCGCGGCAGCCAATGGGCGCTCCCGGCCGGCAGACGCCGCCAAGCTTGTGCGGGGGAGCAGGACCGGGCAGCGCGGGGCGCTCTCACTGTGACTGCCGGGGCTCCCGGCTCCGGGGCCTCCTCGCCAGCGCCGAGTGCGCGGCGCCGGCCCGGCCGAGAGGCGTCGTCGGCGCGACTGGATCGCTCCTTGCCGCGGCGGCTGCCAAGGGACCGTCGCCGTCTCGTCGCCTCAGCGTCGCTGTCTGGGCCCAGCCCGCGCTGCCGCCCGCTTTACCTTTCGTCCCTGGCCGGGCCTGCGGGTGAGCGGGGAGCGGGGCCCGGGTGTGGGGGGCTGTGTGGGGGAAGGGCAGCCCCTTTCTTCAGCCATCGGCGGCCGCCGTGCCCCGGGCGGCGCGGTGCCGCCGGCCCTGCCGCCCCCTCCCCGCTGCCGCCGGGCAGCGCGCTCTCGCCCCGCCTCGCTTCCCCCGGTGCCTCACGCCGGGCGGACGCGGGAGGCCGGGAGCCGGTGCCGGCACCTGCGGGCGGGCCCGGGCGGCGGTGACAGCCGGGGCGCCTCCTCCATTGTGGGGAGCGCGGCGGGGCCGGGCCCGGGCAGGCACCGGCCGGGCGCCCGGCCCTGCTCCGTGCTGCCCGAGCTTCGCGTCGGGGCGGTCCTCACCCGCCCGTCTTATCGGGAGAGGGTCAGTCCGGCACAACAACAACAAAACTTCCCTGCCTGCCTCTTCCTGGGAGTTCCAGGCCTGCCCGGGCTCCCAGCTGTAAAGGGCTCGGCGGCAGAGGTGAACCCAGGGTAAACACCGTCTGTTGGAGCTGAGAATACAAACAATAGGAGGAAAATACGGAATAAGCAAACTTCCTTGAAATGTGGAAGAAAACCGCAAATGAGAGCGTGCTCCCTCACTGAGTAAAGGGGGGATGCCGAGCTGTGTATCACAGCTTATGCTGTTCTCCTCTGGAGGAAGGACTTTGGGTTTCATTTTCTCTCTAAATTCTTGATTTGACAGAGAAAATGAATAGTCTTAATTTATATTATATAGTACACTGGGTTGATATTGTTTACAAATAATTTTTGGTCGGTTTTCATGCAATTCAGTTATTTTTTGACTCTTCATTAATATGGCTCACAGTGACTTTTTTTCAACTACTATCACTGATGTAGCTTAATTATGTTGAGCAAAGATAGTTAAATGTTGGAGGTTGTGTGGTGCTGTAACAAATTGCAACTTGCTACAATCTTTTATTCAGAAATAATGTTATCCTGGTGAAAATGGATGCTGTTAAAAAAGAAATTAATACATTTTTCTCTATACCTTTACCCTCCCCAAATTAACTTCAGTTCATTTGAATATATTATATTCTGTCATACACAAAAATAGATCTGTACAAGTGTGGCGAAGACTGAGAGGAGCAGCGTTACAGGGCAAAGGCAGAACTGTGTTTCCCAGCCATATTTGTGCCAATGCTGTGTACACTCACCGGGGTTTTTACGCAGTGAAGTATTGAATTTCAGGAGCTTCTGTTCAAACTAACGTGTAGCGTGTTAAATATAGCACTTTGAAAAAACCAGGGAGGACCAAGGAGAAGCTTGTGTTATAGAAAAGAGCAGACTTGGCAGGAGAGGTGGTCAGGAAGAAAAAAAAGGCAAGTTTTCTTTTGAAAAGTTTCTTACTGTGAAGCAAGTCTGGTGCTTCTAGAAGAGGACAGAGTAACAGGTCAAATGATTTAGTTCTACCAGGGAAAAAAGAAAATTATTAAATATTAATAAGATTGTCTCATGGGTGAATTTAAGAGTGATGTTATATTACTGTCAAATTATTTGGCTTTCTTTTAACCACTTCCTCTTTGAAAAAAAGTCACTACTGCAGCATAGCAAAAAAGAAACCATTTGACTTGTACTATCGTAATAGAATTAATTTTACAGAAAAGACACAGTAAGAGGAATGCTTTTAATTGCTGCAGAGGGTTCTGACTGGTGGCCTGGCTTTACCAAGTGGGAAGGTTCAGTTTTCAGAGCAGCATCCATGGTAAAAGGCACAGGCCAGGCAAGGCAGCTGGGCAGAGCAGTGCTGCTCTGCAGGGGATGTCGGTAGTCCCAGAGCATTCCTGATCTCTGTGTGCTGTGCCCGTGCTGGACAGCACTGCAGAGACCCCTGGTGCATCTGGACACGCTTCCTGAGCAGCTGGGAGCACCCTCCCAGTGAAGGTCTTCCAGTAGCTTTGGCTAAAATTGTTAAAGGTTTAGTGAAGAAACAGGGACCAAAATTCCAGCATTACATCCTCTTCAAGGGTGTATGATGTTAGTTTAGTTGTGCAGACCCTGTCACTGTGCCTTTGAAAGCTGAATGTGAATCTCTAAATGCAGTATAGAATAGTGACTTGCATGGAATGGAGGAGAGGCTGCTGCAGCCCATCCTGTGTAGAGAAAAATATTCAAATTTCTGCATCCTAATGTGGAGCAGAACGAGTTCTAGTTATAGCCAGTCTAATTCAGTTCTTGGAGTTGCATTTCTTCTGGTGTGCTACCTTAATATAATGTTCTTGGGACTGTCTCTAATAAGTGATAATTGCTTAAATTGTTTGCTTTTTCATTTTTTGAGTGGAATGGTATAAGACTTTCTCCAGTACCTTTCCAATTACTTTCACTGTTTGTGACTCTTAATGAACCAACAGTGAATCTTAAAATAGGGAAAATCAGCTGTCTCTTCTACTGCAAGGAGATACACTTGTGGAGTTTTTGTGCATAAAGCCAAGAAACCACTGGAATCAGATGGGTTTGTCACAAAACTTTAGGTTTTAGATGAAAAACAATCCCAGTGTCTTGGTGTGGTAATAGGGCACAAATCATGGTGGAGCTGAGGGCACAAATTCACTCTTCGTGTATGTTTTGTAACATCCAGTATTAGAATGAAATTAGTTCTTTTCCCCCCATTATTTGATTTGTAGACTATGACTCCTCTGCAAGGATGTGAGGCAATAGCAAGTGATCTTACTTTCATAGTTTCCTTAAATGAACTCCTTTGCTCCTTGGTCTGATGTCCTGTGTGCAGTGATAGTTTCCAATGAAGGCCTTTACAGACTGCTCAAATTTACTTTTATGCTTTTCAATATCTGTAGCATAAAAATCAATCTAAGCAAGTCAAGCTGCAGGCCTACAGTAGTTCAGTTTGCAAGACCATTACAATGGAACTGTAACAAAAGCACAGCTTTGTAGAATATCATACTCCTGCTGAAATACATAACAGTAATTAAATGAAAAAAGATGATGTTTGAAAATAATTTGAGGTCCAGCTATTCACTTAGTACTGTTGAAGAAACTTTTTGGCTTTCAGAACATGGTTTGCAAAATCCACAGGCTACTGTGAAGCCATTTTTGAGGATATTTGTCTTTACTGACACCTGAAGTGAATTCTAGATTTTTGCAGCACTGACTTGGTGAAAAATAATGCTTTAGCCACAGTACTGGCTGTCACTATGGAGCCTGGAACCAAGGTGGGAAAAGATGAGTGTTTGGTTTTGTTGGTGTGCTTGGTTGTGAAGTGCAGCAATTCAGGTGTTGGCACAGATTCATTCTTTCTGGTTTGATAATGCTTAAAAGAGAGGACAACTTGATTTTTTAGTAACTTCCCAAATCATTTAAGCATGAATTCTAGAAGGGGTTTCTCTAGAGGTATCTTTGAAGGCATTATCCAGAACTGTCACAGCACTGGGATCTTCCTGGTTTGCAGTCCATAGGATATTTGACTGACATGAACAGCCAGGTTTTAACATGACCTGTAGAAATCATCCACTTATAAAGGTGATTTTTTTGACTGGTTTTGTGTTATTGCAGTCAGGGGATGTGCCCTGCCCAGCAGGCTTTACACAAGCAGTGCTCAGAGGAAGCAGTGATGGTAGCTGAGACTGCTTCTGTTCCTCAGTTCTTTGCTAACAGTGAATGGAGTGATCACGTCCAAACCATGGAATTTTTGTTAACATCTATAGACCAAAATCCATTTGTGACTGTAATTCTGGTCTTGCAGCTCAATTTATTTTTTTCCTGTAGACCTTAGAGTGTTCTGCTCTGTTTGGCAATGCAGGTTTCTCCTGTTCCATCAGGTTCCTGCTGCTGCCAGATTTGTGTTGGTTTGGGTGGGAATAGCAGATGATTCAGTTGTGGCTTACCTCTTTAGTACTTTTGTTCAATGGAGTCCCTCACTGACCTCTCTTGGGTGGCTATAACATCAGCCTGGGTGTATGGGAAGGTTAATTTGATAGGAATTCATAATCCATTTGCCCATGGGTGGTGTACACAAATATGTTCTGTGTGAATAAGGACCATTTTAATTTACTGTTTTCTTATTGCAAATTTCAGGGTGGGAAAAAAGAAAAATAAGGTCAGAAAGAAATTAGCAGGTTGCAACAGGTACCCACTGTCTTTAAGGCTGTGAACTTTTAGTTGTATAGAGGAATTTTTCGACTTTGTAGCAGCTATTATAATGCTATTTGTGGGAATTAAATCAAATGTATCAGTAGCTGCTCATTAAGTTAAGGCTTGTGAATGCCAATGCATTGACATACTAAAAATCACTTGTGAACTGTAATGCTCATCCCAGAATATATGGTGGTAATATGACCAGTAATTATGGATGAGATTAGAAACTGCAAGTGAAAGTGAGCTTATGTCCTCAGAGTGAAATAAGAAACCTGGGTGTGCATGGCTCTCCATTTCTTAGAAGGAAGGAGTTAGGTAACTTCCTTTTGTTATAAACTTGACCTTGAGATTTGAGGAATGTGAGAAATATATTTCTGTTCTCATAAAGGCACAATCAGGTTATTATAAACTTCAGTTTATTTAAAATTCAACTTACAATTGCAAATACATTCAAACTTTTTTTTAGATCAATAACTTCATACATACAATTGATACAATTTCAAGCTGTGTATTGATTTGGTATAACAGCAGACTTCTGCTCTCTGTCAAAAGCAAATTATTAATCCTGCTTCTTGCTGTTTAAGAAATTGAGGAAGCTGTGATCTGGAGACAAAAATATCCCCCTTCCTAATGGAGTTTTGAAGCATGCACACACCCCAGTGAATTCTTCAAAAGCAGACAGTAGTCTCCATATGAACAAGCCATATCCAGCCTTTTGTCACATTTCAATCCATAATTACATTTGGAGGGCTCATGAGTGCATTTTTTCAGAAGTGGAACTGGTCAGTCAGTGGTGAGTCTGAGGGTTTGTCCTGTGCTGTGCACAGCGAGGTGGCCCTTGCAGCTGCAGGGGTCACAGCATGTGGAAAACTGTCCTGCACCCCCTGT